GCTGTGATGCCACAGCACTCTACCTAGGGCAACAGCTTGAGGCTCTGAAAAAAAAAAAAAAAAGAAAGAAAGGAAAGAAAGGAAAGAAAGGAAAGAAAGAAAGAAAGAAAGAAAGCAAACTAAATACTCTTTGAGATAGCTTCCAAACTCTCTACATTTAGACTTTTGTGAAAAAATGGAACTAGAATTGGATAGATAGAAAGGAAAGGGGAACGACATCAACCAACCATTTATGGTACTTCTGATACATACTCAGGATAGGGACAAAAGGAGTCTAGAACTACTGCAATGATGGGTCTGTATGAAAGACTTCTATTTGTGCACTCCAAACATATAAATCAAACCACATTCAACATCTGATAGAAAAGTAACAAGGAACAGCCTTGATTCCAATAAGCTAAGGAGTATAATAAGCTTTACAGATGTAGCCTCATATATAGAGGCAATTTAGTTAATAAAATCATCAAGAGCAGCCTTAAAAGGGAAAGATGTTGGAAAAGGGCAGCACTGAGCTGGAGGTTGTAGTGCTCTGGTTGCCAGGCAGCCACCCTCGGGGGGGGGGGCCCTCTCTTGTTACCGTGGTGATGTTTGGAGAGCTTACCTAAATACTCTTTGAGATAGCTTCTGAACTCTCCATATCCTTTTAGCACTAACTAGTTGCACCACGTCTTTTTCTTCTGCCCCCACACCTCCACTCTCATAATTTTATATATTTGATGAACATCAAATACATGTGTATCTCCAATGCCTAAGTCCAGAGAATGATGCTAATTTGCCTACCCAGGTAAATGAATGAAAGGATAGTCAAATGAATGAGGAGATGGACTAAAACGACATTCTTCAAACAAAAAATTGATATATCTGCAAGATAATGCAGGATCTGTGCTACTCAACGTCAAGGAAAGCATGTTTTAAAAGGACTTGGCAATCAGGAGGCTTAGTTATTAGTTCTGATGCTCTGCCACTTATCACTGTGTGATCTTGTTCACGTTAGTCCCCGTCTGGGCCTTAGTTTCTTCTTTTGTAACAACAGGGGGTTGAACTATACCAGTTACTCTTAAATATTTTTTGGACACAATCCATGGTAAGAAATACATTTTAGGTGGTGCCTGTAGTTCAGTGGGTAGGGCACCAGCCATATACACCAAGACTAGCGGGTTCAAAACCAGCCCAGGCCAGGTAAAACAACAATGACAACTGCAACAACAACAGAAATATAGCTGGGTGTCGTGACAGATACCTATAATTCCAACTACTTGGGAGGCTAAAGCAAGAGAATTGCTGAAGCCCAAGAGTTTGAGGTTGCTGTGAGCTGTGACAGCTTGAGACTCAATCTCTAAAAAAAAAAAAAAAACATTTTATATCATGACCCAGTACATTCATATTCCTACCAACAAATCTGAAATAAAAATTGTACAATACAATACTTATCCTAATTATGTGCAATGCACCCTTGATATTTTTTGTTCCATTCCTTTATATATTTTTAACTGTTGGTTGTGACCCAATAAATTGACTTTATAACCTCTTTAATGCTTTACCATCCACAGATTGAAAAACACAGAACTAATGGGTATCTAATGACTCCCTCTGGTTCTAGTATTCTTATGAACTTATGCAATGCCTTATCTTCCCTTTAGTATAATAGCAAAAATAGATAGCATTTATTGAACTCTTACTATGTGCCAGGTACTGTTTAAAGCACTTTATGCATATGGACTAACTTAATTTTTCAACAACTGTGACTACTTTTGATTAGTCCAATTTTAAAGATGAGGAAAATCAATGTGGTTTATAATTAGCACCAAATTTAGTGGACTACCAAAATAAATTTCATGATATATTTAAAGTGTTTTTCTAATATCTTAGAACATTTCCATTTTATTAAATATCATTTTGTCTGCTTTTACCATTTTAAGCTCTGGAGAACTATAACAAACCTTCCAGATCTAAGAGGAAGAAAAGATCAATAACCTGAATGATACCCAGTTCTGACTTTGAAAGTCATTTCCCTTATTTATTCTATTATTGTGAAATTGATCCTAAAACAGGTGCTCAGTAGTGCCACATCAGAGAGCAGCTGTACTTCAATAGGTGTGCCTACTATTCAAGTAGACACTCTAATTCTTAGGGAGACACACACTATCAGCAAATCGTCAGCGGAATAATAATCCAAGCGTGAGCCCACGGTCATTACACATCTTTACTGCGAGTAGTAATGTAAAAACAAACATGAGTGCTATTTGTTCATTATTCAACTAGTAAGCGCCACTGTTAATATCCATCTCTCATTCGTAAATTTCACTGAGTGTTTAGTTTAGGGGGTGCTGACAGAGCAGATTTGAAAGATTCCAAACAAGCTCTCCTTGGATACACAAAGGAGATGGCTGACATTTAATGATCCCTACAGTAAATCCAATAAAAACCCATAATTTCATTTACTCATTTAACAGTTACTATTGAACACCTACTGTAGACTAGGTATTGATTTTGCCCCTGGAGATTCAGCAGTGAACATGACAAAGTACCTGCACTCAAGGAAATTATTTTATGTTTTGTAAGTTTGAATTTTTGTATATTGTGTTTGTTTAGGGAAAAACATACTTATATCTTCCCTTTGGTAGAGAGTCAGTAGGAATTATATTTCACTTATTTAAATTATTCAAGTGTCTTTTATGCATAGCAGTAATGAAAGAACCACAGTAAACCACAAAGAACAAATCCGTTTCTGCTCACAAAAGTTTTACCATCTAGTTAAATCAGATCTTAATCAGATGTGCCAAATGGCAGGAGATGCCCCCGGGGGACATTTAGCAATGTCTGGAGATATTTTTAGTTGTCAGAACTGAAGGGGAGAGGTGTAACAGGTATCTAGTGGGTAGAGACCAGGAATGCTGGTAAATATCCTACAGTGCAATCAGTAATTTCTGGCCTAAAATATCAATAGTGCCAGTTTGAGAAACTGAGTTAGAGTGACAGGGTGTATACATTAAAATGTTTTTTAATTATAAGGTATTAGATGATAAATGTTAAATGAGTGATACACAAAGAAGAGAAAGATTATTCTAGACTGACATGGTTAGGGGAGGTATCGTGAAGGAAGTGGAGCTCAAACTAAAGCATCATGCCACTCTTTTGCTCAAAAGAGAAGAACACCTGCTACCTCTCTGACCTCATCTCCTACCACTCTTCCCTCACTCCTCTACTGCAGCTGACTGGCTTTTGCATTTCCTTGAATATATCAAGTATGCTTCTGGCTTGTGGAATCTGCTCTTGCTGTTCTCTCTAGTTCAAGTATCAGTCCCCCAGAAATCCACAGAGCTCACTTTCTCCCTTTCTGCACATCTCTACTCAATCTCTTTTTAGAGAAGCCTTCCCTAATCATACTCCACAAAATATGAACTCCTGCCTCCTCCACTCCTTTTTTTCTTACTATGTTTTTTGGTCTCCACAGCAAGACTGCACCTTGCCCAGACCAGATATTCAAAAAATACAATGTCTGTTGTGGCAGGCACCTGTAGTCTCAGCTACTTGGGAGGCTGAGGCAAGAGGATCACTTGAGCCCAAGAGTTTGAGGTTGCTGTGAGCTGTGATGTTAAAGCACTCTAGCCTAGGTAACAGAGTGAGACTCTGTCTCAAAAAGAAAGAAGAAAGAGAAAGAGAGAGGAGAGAGAAAAGAAATATCTGACAATTAAGTTTGCAAACTTGTCCTAGAAAAAATGCTACATACCTCATTGCTAAATATCAGTATGGTCACCTTTGAAGTGCTACCCTTCGGAGGCTATGCACAGCTGCCAGTGCCTAGTCTACCCCTCAAAACAATTTTGGAACTCTTTTTCTGGTCTAAAACAGTGCCTGCTTCATAGTAGGAACTTCATAAATAGTGAATAAATAGAATAAATATAGTGACAAAATAGAGCACCAAGGGGAATTAATATTTTAAAAATTAGTTCATAATCTTTTTTTTGAGACAGAGTCTCACTATGTCACCCTCAGTAGAGTGCTGTAGCGTCACAGCTCACAGCAACCTCAAACTCTTGGGCTCAAGTGATTCTCTTGCCTCAGCCTCCCAAGTAGCTGGGACTACAGGCGCCCGCCACAATGCCCAACCACTTTTTTGTTGCAGGTGTCATTGTTGTTTAGCTGTCTGTCCTTAGCTGGGTTCAAATTCGCCAGCCTGGGCATATGTGGCAGGCGCCGTAACCACTGCACTACAAGCACTAAGCCTCATAATCATTTTTTAAAGCAGTTTTAGGATAATTACTACGTTTTATATACTAACACATCTGAGTACATCAAGTAAATATTTTATCCTTAATTTTTACTATTCTTATCAGCTTTTTTGCTTTAACTTCATTTCTGATATATGCCTTGTAGTAAAAAAAATAGAGTTTCTGAAATTCTATATCCTAGCAATAAATGCATTTTAATAATTCTAATCTAATGACAGCTCTTCACCAAGTCATTTCTGCCTTGTTCTATTTTCATTTGCACTTAATCACTAATTCACCCACCCTGCACTCAGGGAGCCACTACAGACAATTATGCTAATGCTAATAGCAATAGCAGCTAATGTTTATTGAGGACTTTTTGTGCTAGGGACTGTCCTGAAGGCTGTGCATACATTATCTGGTTTTGTTCGACTATGGCTCCCTGCATCGTACTTCCTGGCACTTTCCCTTTTCTATTGCCTCTCAGCATCCTCCTTCTTAGAGAGCCAGGAGCATACCTCCCCCCACTTTAGTAACCTTGACTACCGTCGCTTTCCTCCTCGCGCTCCGTTGCCAGCCCCCCCCACCGAAGACGGCAATCCCGCCAGCACGAGGTCCCGCAGCCCGCTACGTAACTGGCGCGTGTGCCTGCCTAGTAACAGCGCCGCGACGTGGGCTGCGCGCCAAGTGGGGGGCGGAGCAAGAGAGGGCGTGCGCATGCGTGACGGCTCTGCCGCCTAGTTGCGGGGCGGAGCGTCGCCGGTCAGCCGGGGCAGAGTAGAGCTCGTCGCCAAAGCGCGCGGTTTCTCTTACCTCTGGTTTGCTAGGGTAGACTAGCTTTTAGGAGTGAGGAAGGGAAGAGGTCATCCAACAATGTCCGGTGAGTCAGTCCAGCCTCAGGCTGGTCCCTCACATGCTGGGTTCGATTTTCCGTACCCTGAGCCAATTCGGGCTGCCATCGTCCCGGGGGGCGTGATCCGAAGGGCTGCCCCGGCGCCCAAGTCCTGGATCCAAAAGGTTCTTGACCAAATAATCGGCTCACCACGCCAGTGGGTGACCCCCTCAGAGGTGGTACCTGTTACTGTGCTGGCCGTCCAAAGATATCTGTTAGAGGACGAGCCACGGGACATAATACCCAACCTTCCTCTTTACTGCTATGATGTGACGATCTCAGACGGCGTTTACCAGGAGAAGTGCTACCTGGACCCCAGCTTAAACTTTCTCATTTATCAAAATATTCTTAAAGTTGGCATAGAAATGAGAATTTCCAGAGTCTCCTGTGTTTACAATGAGAAACGATTAGGCCAGGGCATCCTGTGCATAGATAACGTCCACTGTGGGGAGACCTTAGATACGGTTTTTGTAGAAATTCCCTTCAGAAATAGAGCGCACGGGGAGAAACCAGACAGGCCTTTAAGAGGCGTGAAGAGTCATTACCTGGCGCTCTGGAATAACGAAGATCCATATGGAGACATCTGGTTAACTAACAAGCAACCTGCCGAATACAATTTTAGCGGTAAGTATTTTGAAGGTACGATAGAGGGTTTTTAAAAAATGATTTTCCAGAGCTTTCGTTAACGAGAAAGGAGACTGAGGTGCTTCCGTATTGTTGATTAATTACAAGCGGGGAGTAGTAGTAGACAAGTTTTTTTGAATGGGGGATGGACACTCGCTTAATGAAATTTCCACAGCCCCTTCTTGGTTTGATTGCCAAGTGAGGAAGTGTCTGACTCTGTCTTTAATTCAATCTGATAAATGTGCGGGTGTGGAAATCATTGTTCTTCGGGCGTCTGTTCTATATTAGACTATGGTGGGATTAATCATATAGTTTCATTCCCATTCCAGTTGTGGAAATAGTGTGTTGTGTCGGTTAAAGAGCTTATAGATGTGAATTTAGTTTAAGAGTTGTCAAAATTTGTGAGTTTGTATTAGTTTTAACTGTTACTCAAAAAGGATGTTCCTTGATTTAGTCCTTAATAATTTACATTGATCAAAACACCACTTTTATGTCTTTTGAGTGTTATGGTTCTGTAAATGTCACTTTTTGAATATGTGATTTTGTCAGAAGGCCTGGAATTCTCATTTTCCTGTTTCTTATTACTTACCACGGACAGTACTGATCTGAGTTCAATTTTTATGTATCAGAATTAGGAAGTTAACCTGAAAATGCTAGCTGCTCATCAGCAACTGCTCTAAATATATATTTTTCTATAAAAATTGGAATTAAAGGGAATGATAGTACTATGGGCATGAACACATATGGGATTGGAATAAATAAAATGCAAAAAATAAAGGAGCACTGGAAGGAGAAAGGTTATAATTTTCTACACTTACCGCTATTCAGTCCTTTATTTTTATGTTGTCCCAGTGCTATATCATCTAACTCTGATGTGTAAAAGCAACAAATTTGAAAGTGAAGATAACTGGCTCAAAAATATGCAATTATAGTCATACCTAGATATAAGGGGAAAAAAGATGTAGAAATACGTAGCTAAGGATGTCTTAAATAACTAAATTTAAAAAGCCAGACAGTTATTTCTGGGATGAAATGATGGAATCATTTTATCTCCAGCAGGGAATAAGGCTGTAGCATTACTACTCTAAATGTTGATCATTTTTATTTTTAGAATTGAATATGTAAATGAAAAATCAGTGCCCTGCAAGAATTAAGAAGGGTATGATACTCCGTAAAAGTACATTTTGTTTCTTTCTGATTATGAAAGTAGTATCTTTTCATTTATCAAAACCATGTTTTTATTACAAAAGCCAATATCCATATGATAAAAAAAATCCAAAGTATATACTTAAAGGAATATATATTGTGTAAAAAATGTAAGACCTAAATATAGTAAAACAGTGGTGGTAAAATGTAGGAAGTGGGTACCTTGATGTTCACTGTAAAATTCTTTCAGATTTGCTGAATGTTTGAAATTTTTAATAATAAATACTTGTTTCACCTTCCCTCATGCCTTCAAATTTTCTTTCAGAATTATAAATTGTCAGCAGTTCAGTGTGTATCTTTGAAAAAAAATGAGTGATATGCATTGTGTAATTTACTATTTCCACTATCTTAGGCATCTTGTATGTATAACAGTACATAATACATCCCTCCATAGTAGGGATGTGCCTATTATTTTTTATAATCATACCCATATGCATGAGTAACTTGGAGTTTTAAGTAGTCATTAAATTTTCAGTATTAAATACAATGCTAAACATCATTAGGATATACACATTTTTTTTGATCACTATATTCAGATATTTCTGTTGAATGGATTCCTGAAAGTGAAATTGTTGGGTTAAAGAGTTTTTGAATTTTTTAAATTTAGTTGATATTGGCAAATCATCTTCTGAAAAGATTATACTAATTCGTATTCATCAACATATATGTTAGGGTATCTATTTGACCAAATTTTACTATTTCATATTGTATCTTTTGAACTGTTTTTGAATTTTAATTTGTAGGTTTTCTTTGCCGAGTATTAAATTTTTATCTGCTATATACTGCAAATTAATTTCTTGCATTCTGTTCCTTTTCTGTTAACTTTGCTTGTGGTACTTCTTGTGCTTTTGAAACTTTTTACTAAGTTTTACTTTGGGCTTGGCGCCTGTGGCTCAAGAGGCTAAGGCGCCAGACACATACACCTAAGGTGGCGGGTTCAAATCCAGCCTGGGCCCACCAAACAACAATGATGGGTGCAGCCAAAAAATAGCCAGGCGTTGTGGTGGATGCCTGTAGTCCCAGCTGCTTGGGAGACTGAGGCAGGAGACTCATTTGAGCCCAGGAGTTGGAGGTTGCTGTGAGCTGTGATGCCACAGCACTCTACCCAGGGGGATAGCTTGAGGCTCTGTCTCAAAAAAAAAAACAAACAAAAAAAGTTTTACTTTGTTTGCTGAAAAGCAAAAAGATATTAAAAATGCAGCTTGACAAATATTTACATACATATACACACCTGTGTAATCATATCCCATTAAGGTATAGAACATTTCAATCACCCCAAAAAAACTCCTTCATGACTCCTCTCAGTCATCATATTTTTAAAATGGCAGACTTTTTAAAATGGAAGTTAGATCATGCTGCTCTCCTGCCTAAATCTCTCTCCAGTGGCTCCCCATTGCATTTAGACAGCCATCTATAGGTCTGCAAGGCCCTCTAGGAAAGGTGAGCAAACTTCATCCCTAAAGAGCCAAATCATAAATCTTTTTGTCTTTGCGGGACATATAATCTCTGTTACAACAATTTAGTTTTGTTGTTGTATAGGGAAATCAGCCATAGACAATATGTACCTGGATGAGCCTGACTGTGTTCCAGCAGAACTTCATTTATCACAAAACAGGAAGCAGGCTGGATTCAACTTATGAACCCTAATTTGCAGACCCATGTTCTGTAGAATCCCTTACCTCTACAACCTCACGTCCATTCCCTCTCCTCCACCATTTTGTTCTAGCAATCCCAGCCTCATTTTTCATCCTCAAACCTCCAGGCTTTTTCCTGCCTCAGGTACTTTGCACCTGCCTTTTCATCTTTTTAGAATGTTTCTTCCCATCCACATGTTTCATTTCAAATATATAAAACATATTAGAAAGCTATTTAAATAAGTATTCCCTCCCACATTTATTCCTATAATATTACATCACCCTGCAAATGCCCTTCATGGAATCGTAACACTTTGAAATTATTTTATTTGAGAGCTCCAGTTGCACAGTCAGTTAGCGCGTGGTACTAATATGAAATTATTTTATTTGGTGATTTTTTTTTCTTTCTCTCCCTATCTCTTTTATGAGATCCATGAATTTTTTCCACTGCAGTGGGCCACATCCCCTATAGCCAGAACAATGGCCCATAGTAGGCATTCAGAAGGTGTTGAATAAAGGAATAAATGAAATAAATTGATGGATTCTCTAGTGTTGAACCACTTTTGAATCCCCACTTGGTCATGGTTATTATTTTTACATCTGTGTATTGTGAATTTGATCCATTTGGGGTTTTTCCAGTGAAATTTCAATATCAGGTTAATATTCAACTAGTAGAATGAGTTGAGAGGCTTACCTGTTTTTCTGTGCTTTCAGAATTTTATGCTCATGGAAAGTGTGGTAGAATTTACCTCTAAATCTGTCTGAGCCTGAATGGGAGATGGTGGGAATAACTTTCTTTCAATTTCATGTACAGAAAGTGATCAAACCAATAATGCTTCTTGAGTCCATTTTTGAGAATTGGTATTTCACTAGGAAATCTCATTTCACCTAGATCTCAGAGTTGCATATTGTAAGCTATATTTTTCATGTCTTGTCAGGTATTTCTCCTTTCACAGTCCTATTATTGGTCTGTTCACCTTTCCTCATGATTACCCTTGCCAGAGGTTTGTCTGTTTTATCGTACTTAACAAAAAGACTCTTGGCTTCACTAATAACAAAATCTATAGTGAGGAGATGGTTTTTACTTAATTTCTATTATCATCTTTAATTCTATGTACTTCCTTTGTTCATATTTTTCTTGTATTACTTTTCCAGTCGAATGCTTCATTCATTTATTTGCTTGTTTATTGCTTCCAGAAGCTTTTAAAATCCTGAAGTCTCCTGTCAGTACTGATTGCGATAGGTGAACCCCCTCTAGGCTTTGAAGTATAGAGATTTTATCATTATTCATTACTCATATTTTTTATTTTAAATAGGAATTTCTCTTTAAACTCCAAAAGTATTTTTAAGATTTTTTTATTAAATCATAGCTGTGTACATTAATACAATCATAGGGTACAGTGTGGTATTTTCATATATATATTGAAATACTCTCATCAAACTGGTTAACATAGCCTTCATGTCCAAAAGTTTTTTTAAAAGCTTATTTACTAGATCCGAGGTTATGTATTATACCAGGTTTTTAAAATCTGATTCAAATATTGTACATTCTTATTTTTAATCTACTTTATTTGCCCCTTCCTCTGAAAGGAATATTGGCTTTTCTCTATGATGATAGTTTTATCCATTTCTTTTTTTTTTTTTTAGTTTTATCCATTTCTTACACATATGTATTTTTTATTGTTTCAGGTTAATTGAGGGTACAAAGAGGTTACACTGTTTGCATTTGTTAGGTAAAGTCCCTCTTATTTTCCTTACATTTCTAAAAGTCTTTTGCTTTAGGGGTTGCTATAATGTGTTAAATTTCATAGCTGATTAATATCATGATGAATTTTACCCTTTATCAATTTAGATATGCCTCTTTGTCCCTTTTTGCCTTGAATTCTATTTTATCTGATATTGATGCGTACTACTTCCCTGTCTTTTTTGGTAGCACTTAGGGCGGTGATTCTCAATATGTGAGCATGAAGAACACCTAATGAACATTTTAAAATACAGATGGCTGAGCACCACCTCCAGTTTCTGGGGTAGGGTCCTAGAATTTGCATTTCTAACAAGTTTGGTAGCAGCAATGATGCTACTGATGTAAAGACCAAACTTTGAGAACCATTAGCCTAGTGTATTCTTTGTCCTTTTATTTCCGTTTTCTCTTGGTTTTTCTTTTTAAAGAATATAGCTAAGATTCTGCTTTTTGACCCAAACCAATTTTTTTTTTTTTTGCAGTTTTTGGCCAGGGCCAGGTTCGAACCCACCACCTCCAGTATATGGGGCCAGTGTCCTACTCCTTTGAGCCACAGGCACTGCCCCTCCAAACCAATTTTTTAAGAGGTGAATTTAATTCAGTTTAATTTAATGTGATTAATAATGTTTGCACCTGTTACTGAAATCCTACTTTATGTCTACTATATGCCATCCTTTATTTTTTTTTGACTTCTTGACTTTTGTGAGATTAAAAAGATTTTTTTTCTTCTAGTAGTTTGGAAGTTATACATTAGGTTTGTATTCTCCCAGTGGTTATCCTTAATGTTTTAACAAAATTAAAGTGGCATGTCTATGTCAGACTCCAGAATTATTCAGAATTTATGATATCCTCCTATTAAATGAGAGAATATGCTTAAGACCCCTCCTTGGTCATAGCACACAGTTGTCTTTTGACATGCTACTACCGTGTTTGCCCCAAAATAAGCCTTAGCAGATTTCTATGCATTTATTAAATATAAGCCCTACCCCAATAATAAGACCTAGTGATGACCTACATAGCCACACCATGCATTTCAGCACAGAGAGGAAGACATCTCCTGAAAATAAGCCCTAGTGTGTCTTCTTGAGAAAAAATAAATATAAGACAGTGTCTTATTTTGGGGGAAACACCGTACATTAGATTTGAAAGTATTTGATTTAGGATTTTTGCCACCATAAATAATTGGGGTTTATAGTTTTCTCTTTTGTACTATTTCTGTTGGGATTTTTTTTTCAAGATTATTCTAAGTTTATAAATTAATTGGTATAATTTATGTATTTTACTTGGCTCTGGAACAATTTATAGTTCAGGGAAAGAGCTAGTCTTTGAAAGTTGTTAGAATTTTCTTGTAAAACTATTTGAACCTGCTGATATTTTTGGAAGCCCTTATTTGTGAACTTTTTTTATTTTCTTCCATGATTAAGGAAATATTCTGGTTTTCTTCTGCTTCCTAAGGTAACACTGGTAACTTATATTTTCCTAGAAGATTGTTTCACTGATATTTTGAAGTTTATTGATATAGGATATTACATAATCTTTTAATAATTTTTCTCTATGTATAGTTGATCACATTCTGAATATTACATTTTGTTTTCCTTTTTTCATGATTGGACTTGCCAAAGGTTTATCTTTTCATTGATTTTTTTCCAAAGAATTATATTTATCAATGTTATTGGGTTCTTTATTATGGTATAACGTTTTCTGATTCATTATTTTCAGTTTTTATCTTTATACCTTCTGCTTTCCTTAGATTTATTCCTTTGAAACAATTTCTAAAGTGTGGTCCAGGGACCTCTGGTGCTGTCCTCAAGATATATGCAGGGTATTTGTGAATCAAAGGTATTCTCAAAATACTAAGGCTGTACTTACCTTTTTTCACTCTTTCTCTCACAAGTGTAGAGTGAAGTTTTCCAGGGACTACATGTTATGTGACACGGAAATGACTGAATGCCAAAGAATATATGAGTATCCAGCTATCTTTTTTTAAGCTAGGTACAAAAGAGATGTTTAGGAGATGTAAAACACTGCCACTTTTCCTGCTAAATTTCTTTTGTTTTGGAAAATATAGTCATCTTTCAAAAATATGTTATTTATATCTATCAGTTTATCATTGTTGTTTTTAAATGAGTTAATAATCTTTTTAATTTGTAGTTGGTTTTTTTTTTTTTTTT